GCCAGATATCGGTCATTCACAGTAATATATATATATATATATATTAATATATATATATATATTTCTAACTGTATATTTATACTTATATACAACACTACATATTTTATGTTATGCAATCTGCATTTGATAAAGGTTAGTTACTGATTGGCGATTGAAAGATCATGACACGAGGTGAAGGCTGGCAGATTTTAAATTGATTTTTTTCTTCAAAGGGTGAAGGATGATCGGTGATTTAGAATTATCGAATTCTGCAGAAATATAAGTATCTGTAAGCATTATTATATCTAATTAAAGAAGAAAAAAAAAGATAAATTATATTTATATTATAAGACTGTTAAGTCTACGGAGCAAAAATTATTAAAAAATTTTTAGCAATTCAGATTTTATAAAATCATTTACAATGTATCGCATTTAGTTACTAGTTTTAAATCAAATGACCTTTAAACTGAATTTTTTAAATATGTAGAAAATATTGGTAATAATAATAATAATAATAACTTGTTTTCAATAGTTTAGAATTTTAAGTTTCTAAAGCATATTTAGATGATTACATATTATACATAGATCTAGTTAAAATTAGGTTTATTTTTGAAATTTTTTATTTAAAAATCATTAATTTTTCAAATAAAAATTTATGTTTTCGTAAACGAAACAGGATTTTCCGAAGTTGGATAAAGAATAGTTTCTTTTCTGAAAAATAAATTTATATTAAAATATCATTCTGAGTACAGAAGAGAAATAATGTAAATATAGTCTATTTATAACGTTACACATACTTAGGTCCAAGATTTTGATCAAGTTCTAGTCCATCACTTTTAAATTTTGCGCGCATACTAGCGATAGAAGATTCTGAAAGATATATTTAGTTGCTATAAATTTAAACATTATTATTAGTAGCAGTAAAGAACCAACCTGTAAAAAGATTTGGATGTAATTCCATGTAATTCAATACATATTGATCCGCATCTTCAATGATAAATTTTTGTCCAGCAGCTTCGATAACTGCTCCGAGAAAGAAATCTTTTAAACTATAATAAACGGGCTCTTCATAGATTCCGCCACTTTTTAAAAGTTTTTGTCGAGAGAGAAATGTACCACCAATAAAACCAGAATTGGTAATTGGTGGTTCGAATATCATTACAGTATCATCAGAAAGATAATAGTAGATAATAAATTTTCTATCTTTATCGTGCGGATATTTAGGATCCTATAATGGTTTAAATTATATGAAAACTTAAAAATAACAGACAAACATCATTAAATTCCTTACCATTATGGCAGTGTATCTCAAGTATTTCGGATGATTCAAAAGAAATTTTGCTAAATCTGTATAAATTTTTGGTCTTAAAGTGATATTATAATAAGATTGAAGAGAATCTTCCCATGTGCCAAAACCGTCTGTATGAGGAGGGAGTTCCTATTTATCAATAGAAAATATTGTTAAGCGACACTAATCATTAAAACCTCAATCACATTTATATTACTTACGGGAACGAAAACTTTCGGAGGTTTCGGTCTAACATCAATGGGCGTAAAATCTTCAACACCGTAATATTTTCTGTAGAATTCCTGAGTGAAAGAATCACAATCATATAAAAATAATTTTCTGTTATATATAAGCAATGTTTTGCCGATTCCCAGATCTTTATGAGAATAAAATTTATCTAGTTCTGCTTCTGTTAGATCTAAATTAATTGATGGAAAATCATCTGAAAGAACAGAAACGATTTTATAACTGAAGTTATAATTAAAAGTTAGCTTCATTTCATTTTAATAAATAAATTACCTGATACGGCAGATCTATCTTTTGGTATTCTATGTCGTTTTACTAGAACTGGATTAGGATCTCGACCATTATTTACTTCATGAACTTCCAAAATTTCAATAGAATCATCTGCTAGATAATACTTTAAATAAAAGTTTATTTTTTGGTTTAGAAATTATTAACTATTATTTCAAATAAAAATACAAAAGACATACATTTAAAATACAATAATGGATATCTCCGTACATATTATCTCTGTCATCCCAAATACAATAAAATCGAAGTATTTGACGATCGAAATGAAGAAATTTCCAAAGCGAATCTACAGGGGATGGTGTAGTATATAATTTACGTGAAGCAGAAAATTTCTGTCTTTCTAAATATGGATCCACTGGTGGGGTTTCCGAAGGGTTCACTTCTATTCCTTCACTCGTGAGAAATTCCTGTTAGAATTAATATTTAAATATAAAATTATATTATTTATGCATAAATGATTTATACAGTATATATTATATATAATGTATAAATCATTTATACTTGACATACATAACATGTATATGTTATGGACCAAGTGACTAATACGTCATTATCTATAATGCCCGGCCATTATGAATAATGACTAAAGCGGCCGTGCAGCCTGATAAATATTAATTAATTTATTAAATTGAACAGACATTATGAATAAAACTTATTTCTTTTGGATAATTTGATTAAAAAAACACTTTCGTTAAGAAATATTTGTTTTTGTCAATTATTTCAGAGTATCTTAGGAACAATACGTCATATTATATGTTAATTTTAATATAGATATATTAATTACATAAAACTTTAATAATCAACATGCATTATATAATAATTAGAATCATTATTAAAATAAATTTACTTTGGCAATTATTTTGCACATAGCTTTCAACAAAATAATTTGTGAAAATTTTCCTTACAAGCTGGAATAATTTTAAATGTATTAGGCTATTAACTGTATTAATTAAATTAATGTTAACAAAAAGTATTATTAATAAAATTATATAGCCTAATTAAATCATAAAAATCAACTTAAAGGAAACTTCTGAAATGTCGTTTTGGTATTTATCATCACTTTACCTGACAGATGATAGCACTATTCATATTGANTCATAGTTGACCACTTTTTTAAAACGTTACCAATACATGAGCATTATTTACAATACCTTTATTAATCACTTAGTCTATAACACACACACACGCATATATATAGCCTACATATACATACAGTACTATAAAAGTATATATATATATATTTATTTACTTACTTTTGTCCATTTGTCACAATCATATATGCGATAAGTATTCCCGTAAATGGTGAAATTCATAGCGATATTAAGATCTCCCCAGTTCCAAAATTCTCCTAATGAATTCTTTGGAAATCTTTGTCGCCTAAGTAAAACTCCCTAAAAAAATTAATTTGTGGTTTTTATAAAAATAAGTTATTTTATTTTGGAAATTGTACATTTTTAAGCAATCTCGAAAAAAATTAGAATATTTTTCTCATTATATATGTTGGAATTCCTCTTTTTTTCATAGCAATTTAAAACGATTTTTCAATACTTTTTATAGCTAAAATGAATTTTTATGAATAGATACGACAATATTAATATAAGACAAAAATATTAAATATAGATTATAGACATTTTTGTTTATATTCTTAACACTAAAAAATAGACAAGTACTATGTCTAGACGTCTCCAAATACAATTAACTATATAGGCCTCACATGCATGATTGTAGCCTATATTGTGAAAGTCTAAACAACATAATCGTGCATATACATTGATTTGAATATTTTAACCTTTCAATAACTTAAAGCTTTATAAATTGTGAGGTTTAATTTATTTACGATTTTATTAAAATGAACAAAAATAAATTTTTAATTCTTTTGTTTCATTTTTATAATTAGCCTTCATCATAGATATGTTTCCTTTTCTTCGTAACAATGAAACACTGAGGATTCTAATTGAATTTTGTCAACTTCACTCAATACTTAGATATAGTACAGTCCACAGACTATAAAAAGGAAGGACACAAACTATAAAAAAGGACATCGTACATTATGCAAGAAGCTTCAAATTCTATGATTCAATGTCAGATCAGGGCTCTTACAAGGAGCTTTGGCTGAACTCAGGGCTACATTAACTTGAAAACAAGGAATGTGGTTTTGGTCAACATACAACGAATAAATAACTTCATAAAAATGTCGTTCGTTACTTTTTTATATTTGCAGAATAGGTTAAGTCATGAATTTTCTGTTGTTTGTTGATAATGAAATTTGTGGTTCCCTTCAGGATTAGGAAAAGAGCAACCCATACGAAAAGAAGGTACATGTATTTCTCAATATACGGGTATCTCTGCTTTGAGAGATTTTTTTATATTCTTCCTTTCCATTTTAATTTCCTGGCTATTATGTAGGTTATACATAACAAATCGTGTCAAATTTGACCCTATGGATTTTTTGCAAACCTCCACTCTTTGAGACTCCTTGAAATCAAAAAAGTAAGAAAGAAAGAAAAAAAATCAGGAGAAAATCCCAAGGATATACAGTATGTGTTTGTTAACGTATATTTCATTTAATATCCCAGGACTGGGTAAAGGTTAAAAAACGAAATTTGGTGTGGTAGCTTGTATATAAGGGGCTTTGATACTGTTAAATTTTGGTGGTTAAAGGTCGAAGGAGTGGAAAAGTAGAAGGGATCATCTGTCATATCTTGAGAGGGGTCGGATTTAATGAAGATTTTACTCGTTATTAGAATTCATAATTTTTTTTTTTTTTTATAAAACTCATTTCTACCCTCAAAATAAAACTTTTAGCCATTTTATAATAATTAATAATATAAATATTTTTTAATAACAGAATATAATAGAGGCGCTACACACAATTTTATTTGTTATATTTATTATGATTAATAATATAAAATGTATTTTAAAAATAAAGTCTCATAACAGCCGCGAAAGCTACGCAACTGGTTGCTGGATTTTTAAAATTATGTTAAAGATTTTACCTGTATTCTAGAATTAATTTCGATTCTCATAACGATAATCGTTAATTTATATTGTGAACATATTTTCCTATATACTATATTGGAAGTAATCTTTTGTAAATTGACGCCATTGATGTTATAACAAACGGAGATAAAGTTCCATGTTGGCTATTCAAAACTAATAATTAAAATTAAAGTAAACAAAAATTTACTTGTGCTCTATGTCTAATTAAAACATGAAAATTTTACACTTTCATTGAGGAATAACGTTTGAAAGTAATGGATATTTTTATTAACAATTTTTAAAAAATAAAATTAAGAAATTACATTAAATAAAACTTTATATTTAGTGTATAAACATATATACATACATTATGACACTGTATATTTTATTATAAATAACCAAAACTGCTTCATCCATTTTTTTTTTCTCTAGGAAAAAAAAGGATCGAAACAGTGAAAATAAAATAAATTAAACTTCATAATGCTTTAATTGTTTTTGTATAGATTTCAATTTTTTAACAGACAAATTAATTGTTGTTTTGAAGGTAGGAAAAAACTATCTTAAGCTCTTCTGTACTATTATGTAACTGCATTTAATAATATGTATATGTATGATAAAAGTTGATGTATTGTGATAATGGCAAATTACTTAAATAAATTTTATTACAATTAGTAAATTTCTAAGGCAAGTCTCGCATCATCTTTGAGCCATTCAATTTCAGAACCTCACTTCTTGGTACTTACACGTTTAGCCATCATTTATCACAGTGGAGTAATAATACGAATTTTTCAAAATTTATAATAAATAAAAAAACAAATATAAACGTTTGTAGATTGTACATATTTAAAATACTTTGTTGAAAAAATGATGTAAACATTTATAAACAACAAGAATAGCAAAATTACATCTTAAGAAAATTTTTATCAGAATCAGAACTAGATATTTATTTTTGATATAAAATTACAGTGTTTTTCAGAAATTAACAAATAACGAGAAACAATAATCTTCAAAAAATATTTGAGAACTGTTGTGATAAATTCATCAGTTGTATGAAGTTCAAAACTACAACGAAGAGGTAAAGTGAGAGTTTCATTGAATAATTTTGTCTTGTGACAAAGGTAAAAAATGTCACAATCATTGGAGTTGACTCTGCTGTATACAATATCTCAACGCATTGTTCACGTATTGTTCAACATTTCTACAAGGTAANTTTATTTATTTATTTAGACATACTAGGCAGAGCCCATGATGCGGGGTATACAATAATTCGTTACATGTACATTACAAAAAAATATCATAATCCATCCATTATTACAGAGAAAATTAACATATACATAAAACAAAACAAAAGTTATACAAGTATTATTATAAACATCAAAAAACATCAAAAATAAATATCTGAAAGCCAAATATCCAAANATAATAAATAAAAAAACAAATATAAACGTTTGTAGATTGTACATATTTAAAATACTTTGTTGAAAAAATGATGTAAACATTTATAAACAACAAGAATAGCAAAATTACATCTTAAGAAAATTTTTATCAGAATCAGAACTAGATATTTATTTTTGATATAAAATTACAGTGTTTTTCAGAAATTAACAAATAACGAGAAACAATAATCTTCAAAAAATATTTGAGAACTGTCGTGATAAACTCATCAGTTGTATGAAGTTCAAAACTACAACGAAGAGGTAAAGTGAGAGTTTCATTGAATAATTTTGTCTTGTGACAAAGGTAAAAAATGTCACAATCATTGGAGTTGACTCTGCTGTATACAATATCTCAACGCATTGTTCACGTATTGTTCAACATTTCTACAAGGTAACGTCGACCAATGCGTTGACTATCTGTGTATGGCAACTCTAAAAATAACGGTGATAGACTTTTCCTCGAGATATACACCAATGCAACGTAATTACGGGCTTTTTTCTCAGGATCACTCTTACGACCACCAGAGTGAGACTTCATAGTTGACCACTTTTTTAAAACGTTACCAATACATTATGCAATCGTACTTAAGTGCCTTCCTGAAAACATAAACACGAAAAAGCTCGTGTTTAACAGTCGTCACGTTCTCACTTTGTATATCATATCAGGGCCGGCGTGACCTTTTGCGGGGCCAGAATACATTTAAATCCTATACTCAAATTTCACAATAAGAAATTATTTATTAAAAGTACAAAGGATGTTAAATATATTTTTTATAAGATGAATATTACATAATTTTTCTCGCTATTTTCGCCTCAAAATCTTTGATTACGTCATCAAAATTGATTGAGTTTGCCACTTCGCTTTCTATTGAAAGAATAGACAGAGATGTAAATCGGTCTTGGCTTATTGATGATCGAAGATAATTATTTATTAGTTTCAACAGCGAGAAACTACGTTCAGCTGAAGCCACGGTTACTGACGTAGTTAACATTTGTAACGCAATTAATAAATTTTGGTATGTTTCGAAAGATTGTTTTTTATAATGTATTTCATCGCATCTAGAGCCGAATAATTGGCTCGCATTATCGATCGGAACATCTTAATCTCTTCAAACATTTCAGTTACGTCGATATCTCCTCCCAAATGTAAGTGAAGATCTTGACAACATTTTAATAAATATTCGTCATCTAAATTCTCATTCATATATAGGAAGCCAAAAATATTTTGGTGATTTGCATTTAATTCAAATATACTTTTAAATGATACGAACGCAGTATCTATTATTTTAAAAAAGTAATGTATACGGAAGTTGCAGACGTGCTAACGTTTGATGTCAACATTTAATATCAACGTCTGCAACAGGTTGCAACGAAATATTTCAATGCAAAGACGGGAGAGAAAATCTTGTACTCATGTCAGTGTGCAACAAGTTGTCATCGATTAGTGGATTATGCGATTGCATTTTCCACACACACCCGAATATTCAATCTACTATAGAGGGGATCCTGCAAAATGTCTGATGAGTTTTCGTACACCGCTGGGCCGGGTTCCGGCGAACGCGCTAAACCTGCAATGACACACTTAGAGCATTGCTCTACGGTCAGTGGCATTTTCACTTTTGTCGCGTGGCAAAACTACTACCCACCTTACCACTCTATTGTGGCAGAACTTGAACTTCATACAACTGTGTTTATTATGACACAACTTTCAAATTATCCTACCTAAACGGATCGTAATATTACCTTAAGTTTTTATCCTTTAATTAAAGGATTATCTTTTCATTATTATTATTGATTCATCTTAATACTTAATAATTATACTATTATTAAACAATACACATTGAATGTTATTCAATTCTCAAAAAATGATTAGTTTGTGATGAAAAAAAAATATATGCACAGACATAATACGAATAATACACAATATTTTCAATTTATCGTTTAAGAATTAAACGACTGTAATAATCATTTATTTAACATTGGTAGCAATTCTTTTTCTTTATTCAGAATTCTCTTGTTAAGCTAAAACTAAAATTGAGCAAGTATTTCTAGCTAGAATTTAAGTCTAGATATTTTTTACGAAAATATATTTAAAAATTAGAAACACTTCCATTGGATTGTAAATCATACTTAGAATTTATCTACATCAAGCAATTATATAAAATAATAAATATTCAAAATCTTTGCTAATTTTAATTTAAAATTTTTTTGATTTTTTGCATTAATACAGTAGTTTAAAATATCTGTGTTAATTTCATTCCAAGAGCATTCAAAAAATCGTAAATCAGTCTGTAATTAGCATTAATCGAAACTAGATTATTTATTATAAGGAATTATAAGTTTTGTGTATTAAATAATATATAATAGTACATTTTTTATCAAAGGCGAATAATTACTGTTTGAAAAATGTAGAGTGGTTAGAATAAACTGATGGTACTCACATGCGCGGAGCCAGCTTTTCTGAAACAATCGAATGAAATTCTGTACACATGCAACGTAGATCATGGGGAAGAGATATACGAGAGAAAAAATTAATTGAAATTTTCACCGCTAAGAAAAATGTGGCGCTGCAAGGATGACAATTATAAGACAAGTAGGCAATTTTATTAGAAGAACAAAACTACATTTTACACATTTATAGTATACTGTATGTTCAATGTAGGATACTTCTTTGTTGAGCAAATGTTGCAATCGTGAAACGACGTTATCAGCTGCCGCACATAACATTACAAAAGCAACTGGGAGTCGTCGCACTATGCTGGCCTTTAGCTCCTATACGAAGTGCACACGCCCCTGATAAACACTCTTTCAAATAATCCCACAGCCGTAAACACAAATTTTCGACTGAACAGAGCTACATTTTCCCATAGTGGTGAAAATTTCAACTAATTTTTTCCCGTAAACTGTACCCCATGATCTGGAATTGAATGTATACCGTGTTTCATTCGATAAGGTTCAGTAAAGCCGGGTCCACGCATGTCTGAGTACCATCAGTTAATTCTAATCAACCTTTGTTATATGGTACTTCTATTATCAATCTCGAAGTCATTCATAAAGAAAGAAGTGTAATTTGATTACCTGTAACAAACCAGAATTATTAATAGACGGTTCAACTATACGCATTGTGTCATCTTCTAGATAATAATAAATATTCACTCTACGTATACGATAAGTATCATCAGAAGAAAAAGGAACAGTTTGCTTAAAATATGCGAAGAATCTCAACACCTAAAAATTAATATATAAAAAGTAAATCAATTTAAAATGTACTAATGGCCATTTTTTGCAATAATTATTTATTTATTAATACCTTTTTATCATAAGCCACGAAAGCAGGAATCCAAACTTTTTTGGGTACTTGAGCTCTTCGCCCATATGTCAAATCTCTAAATTTTTCATTTTTTAAGCAGTTTTCGGCTTCTAAAAATTCACATGCTAATTTAGGAGTCGGTTTCTGAATTATACATGGAATTCGATAACCTTTATCGTATGTCAATGTTTGTGGTAACGAAAATTTGCATTTCTAAAAACAAATATATATACAGTATACAGTTTTAAATAATCTGATGTCTTTCAAAATGTGCAAATAATTATTTCAAAAACTTATGATAAATAAATAAAGTTTGTCTTAAACTATAGTGAATAAAATTAGAAATAATATAGACCTATATAATAATTAATTAAATACAGTAAAATCATAATTTATCAATTCGCGCACTTCGCAAACGATTCCGAATGCTCCCAAAACAGATATTTTTCTTTTTATAATTTTAAGAAAAATGTTTGATGATTTAATAATTAAAAAAGTTTAAATAAGATTTATGTAGCTTACTCCCATTTTACTTTTTCCTCTACTAAGAAAGAAGTTAAGAGGATAAGTTAATTTTAGTGGAAAAAAAATCATTTTTTAAATTCTTTAAAAAGTTTATGATTCTAGATTGTTTACCATTTTGTTTTCATTAACCAAAAAGTTTTTTGAAAAAGATTTTACCTCAGATTATCTGTTGATTTCTTATAAAAAGCTCCACTATTGACAGTGAAGACCCCTTCACGGGGGCTTCTCTGTCTGAATCCACCCTTACAACATTTAACAAATTTAAAGAATATTTCTACTTAATTCGATTTCATATATCTTCCGCGTGTCTAAAATCACAATTAAAATTCATATAAAATTGTATTTGATTCTGAATTTTAAATTTAAACATTTGTTTATTTTCTTTTTTGTAAATGTTATCATTGCAGAATAAATCGAAGAGAAAAATTTTCTATTTAATAAACATAAATAGAATTGTGTAAATCGATGCAAAATCAAAGTCTAGAATAGTTTAGTGCAGATTAACCATACAATAGGCCCTATATTTTTTAATTCAAAATATTTCGAATTTTCATACTTACCGTCGGATCAATAAAAGAGAAGCCTGGCAAAAACGGCAAATCGGCTTTGTTCATGGCGTTTTGAAAATTAAAATGCGGATATAATAAAGCAAAATCTTTAAATGAAAAATGAAAAACAAGAAAACCCGAACGTTCGAAAATATGAATGGAAACCGTGTAAACAAATGTTACCTAGCAGTGATAGATTGACATTCGAAAGCTAATATTTCATTGGCTGATGATATTTACAATACAGATCAATCGAGCGTGTTTGGCCAATTATATTTAATTTATTTAAACTTCTCATTCGGAGCTAGAATCTTACCAAAAATTAAATTAAAATTTATCTATTACTAATGAGATGTTTGTTATTAACAAAATTATATTTTAAATTTCTAATTAAAAATTTTATCGATTAAAATTTAACAACGTAATTTATTGAAATTGTAATTTAGATTAAATATCTAATATAGAAATATTAATTAATTAACTATTTAAATATTAATATAAAGACGATGTACAGTTATAAATTCGTTATTACAATTACAAGAGCATCTCTCAAGATGTAAGTGTCGCCATCTATATGCGAATTTAATTAAAATATAGTATTTGTTTATGTGTCAGCTGTTGACAAACACGAGACAAATGTGTTAGACCGGAATTTGGACTTTCGTTTTTGATTTATGCGGCTTAACTACTTATCATTTGAGATTTGATAAATTGGTTAAATTCCATTATTGCACATGAATTGCAGTAAAGCATTGGAGGCCAAGATAGGTAAAATTATTTTATTTTGTTAACGATACAGGAAATTTATTTCTAAAATATACTGTAAGTTATAACTTTTTGTATTGTATGCGTAATATATTACTATTTAAATACGTAATTTTAAGTTGTAAATTTTACTCCAAGGCTATCGTGTCAATGTTCATTATCATTTATTAAAAAGCATAGAATTTTATTTTTCGAAAAAAATTTATATATATGTGAACCATCAATAAAATAACGTTGACCTAATAAATAAGCTATCAATAATAGTTCAGTGACAGTCCTAAATTCATATTTACCTGTATATATCTAGTATTCAAATTTTAATAACTTGGAAATTGTTATGTAAAAGTTATAAATTTTAATTAATGGAAAACATTGAGTTTATAGCAAAAAATTACAAATGAGATTGTTGATGTTTTGGAAATTGTCTAACATATCTGAATATTGCATTAATGTATATGCTTATTATAAAATAATCTGCTGGAGAGGAAACTTTCTCAAATAACAATCAACTGTAAAAGAAATAATTTATTGAAATAATTATTATTGAAAATTTATCCAGACATTTAATGTTTGATAAATATAAAATTTTAGCTAGATAAACGAGTTGATACCTATTATATATATAATAATATAGCCGTATTATTGGGTTGTTTTTCCAGCTGTAATTCAAATGAAACAGGTTATGTTGATACTAAATGACACTAAATGTGCAGAGGTCACTGAATGTGCATCCTTATGACTGATGCACATTGCTTATCAGTTGCGTGGAAATATGTTTTTTAAGTCAGTATAAAGGGACACAGATATAATAGATGTAAAATTTCAATTAGTATAGTATAGACTGGTGTTTTATACATTTTGTGTAACATATATTCATGTATCATCTTAAATCTATATAAATAAAAATGTAAATGTTCGTTTGTTCAAAATCTTAAATCTCTGAAAGTTCTTCACTGATTGCTTTGAAATTTTGAAACAGCATTGCATTCGAATACGGAGGTGTTTTTATATTATACAGTATAGATGTCAAAATTCTCCCGCAGGGGAGAGAGACAAAATTAAGGCTTACCGTGAAGAACTGGGCTTCTATTATACTATTTTAGATGCGGTTTTTTGTGTTTTTGATTGCATTTTAATAGGGTACATCAAGAGAATGTACACTAAGAAGGGATTTTTCGAAATTTCCCCTGCGGGGAGTGTTATATATTTATAATAGATACATTTTGAGCCACAGCAACACGTGGTCGGGTACAGCTAGTTTACAATAAAAAATGATAAATAAAAAATGCTATATTAAGATGATATTATATTTAATTCTATGAGCTTATATTTTATACATTTTAATGTTGTACTATTTTTTCTACTTATATACATTTAAATGTTAGCTATATTCCACTTACATCCTAACAGAATACAATGTTCTACTTTGTTGATATCCTATAATGGCTGTTAGTACAATCAAAAACATTTTCAAATTTCTTAATAAAACTTTTACTGGTAAAGGTTATACTTTGCGCTATCATACCTTTTATCAGTATTGTATTGTACCTGTATTTTGATATCAAATTATTTAGTGATACATAGGTATAATATTGAATTATCCCCTGATTATTCTTCATGCATTATTATACAGGACCACATATTAGTATCTTAGTCTCTAGGTAGTTGTGGGCTGAGGGCTGTTTATGATTGATATCTACTTTATTAACATCATAAAGATATGGTTCATGGACATAATTGACACTTTAACTAATATTTAGAGGCTAGTTTTCAGTTTTTAATTATTAACATAAAAAATGTTTGTCATTTTTTTATTGTCTGTAAAAACTGTTCATTTTAAATTTCTGACAATCATATCATATGCCAAATTATTCACAAAAATATTTATTAAAATATCTTGTGTTTTGACTGTCATGAATGTTTTCAGTTCATCATTATATTACAAAAATAAAAATACAAAATAATATGATCAATAGACTACTATGATAAAATTATTTTTATTGAGTTTTATAATTTATTAAATTATACAGTCAAACTCCATTTATTTAGATCCCATTCATCCAGATTTCCAGAATAACCAGATTGATCTGAAGTCATTTATTTTTAAATTTTTATACATTTCGTGGAAAAATTATTTGGATGTTTTGTGAGATTGTTGAAACATTAATTATAAACTTAATATGTATACCTATGTAGCAATCTCACATATTCAAGGATAAGAATATATATTGTTTGTATGTACTGAATAATTTTTATTTTTCTATTTCTGTAATGTTCCTATTGTTTTCAGGTCAGTAAACCATGTAAGTTTATTTTAAATCATTAAAAAGTAAGAAATTTTAGACTTCTATTTCATTACCTCACTAATTTTGGTTTATCTGGATTTTTGTTAACCTATATTGGATCTAGTCTTGTTTGGTCCAAATAAACAGGGTTTGACTGTATTTATTTGATATATTTTATTTTTATATTTTGTTTTATTTTTATAATTTCATATAGTAAATGTAGTATTTTAAATTTCAGATCAAATAGTTACATCATTTTTAGGACCAAATAAGAGGTAAGATTTAATACACTTCCTCACTGTCTGTTTATAAAACATAATGGCATCCATAAATTTGTGGACAGTATGTGCATATTTAATTTCAATTGTAATATTGACAACAGCTAAATATTCTCCATTTATTACACTTGATGGTGAATGGAAAGTCAGAAATGGTAATGGAAGTATAATAATACCTGCCAAAGTTCCAGGAGGTATTTTTACTGATTTGAAAAGACAAGGTATTATTGATGATCCATATTTTCGATTTAATGATGAATTTTATCGTTGGATAGGAAAAGACAGTTGGGAATATTATAGAAGATTTGATCTAAATAAAGAAATTTTATCAAAAAACAGTATTTTTCTTGTAGCACATGGATTAGATACAATTGCAGATATTTACATCAATAATAGATACATTGGAAGATCAACTAATATGTTTGTTCGTTATAAATTTAACCTTAAATTAAACTCATTGTTAAAGGAATCAAATAATAGTATCAGAATATCTTTTATATCTCCTGTTGAATATTCTAAAACTAGGAGTAATGAATATATGAAGAAATATAGATATGTTGTTCCTCCAATATGCCCTCCTCCTGTTCAGAATGGAGAATGTCATGTTAATTTCATTAGAAAAGTTCAAAGTTCATTTAGTTGGGATTGGGGGCCTTCTTTTCCAACTATGGGAATCTGGAAAAATATTGGAATTGAAGCTTATGATACAGTCATTATTCGTGATATTACTGTTGCCACTATACCAAAGAAATCTGATGATAAAATAATTTCATGGAAATTAAATTTAACAGTCTACTTTGAAAATGCAAATATGTCTACAAGTACAAATGTAACTATTAAATTAAATAAACTAATTTTGATAACTAAGATATTTCTATTAAATAACAGAGGTGTTCTGAACATTACAGTAAATATTCCAACAAATTATTCTATAGAATTATGGTATCCAAATGGTTATGGAAAGCAGAAATTATATAATCTTACTGTTACATTTGATCCTTTATCTAGTTTAGAAATAGCTAGTAAAACAATATGCATTGGTTTTAGATTTGTTGAATTAATACAGGAAAAAATTAAAGGTTCTTCTGGTTTGAGTTTTTATTTTAAAATTAATGATGTTCCCATTTTTGCAAAAGGATCTAATTGGATTCCAGCAGATAGCTTCCCTGATAGAATTACTGAAGAATATATTCGTCATCTCTTGCAGTCAGTGAAAGATGCAAATATGAATATGTTAAGAGTTTGGGGTGGAGGAATGTATGAACAAGATAGTTTTTATAAAATAGCTGATGAATTAGGAATTCTTATTTGGCAAGATTTAATGTTTGCTGTTGCACTTTATCCAGTTAATAAAGAGTTTCTAGATTCTGTTTCTATAGAAGTAAAACAACAAATTCAAAGACTTCAGCATCATCCAAGTATTGTTTTATGGGCAGGAAATAATGAAAATGAAGTGGGAATAGCACAAAAATGGTGGCCTTCAGTATATTTATCCTATGAAAGATATAAAAAGGATTACATTACTTTGTATATTAAAACAATTGCTCCAATTGTAACAGAAGATAACACTCGTCCATTCCTGCCTTCTAGTCCATCAAATGGTAAAATTACAGAAAAGGATGGATGGATATCATCAAATCCACAAGACACACATTATGGTGATGTCCATTTTTATGATTATACCTCAGATAGTTGGGATTGGAAAATTTACCCTCGAGCAAGATTTGTTTCTGAATATGGTTTTCAATCATATCCCTCTTTTATTACATTTTCTAATGTCTCACTACCTAAAGACTGGACTTATCCATTTGGAAAATTTGTAAGTCATCGACAACATCATTTGTTTGGTGGCTTAGAAATGTTGAAATCCATCTTAAATCATTTATTTTTACCAAAAATAAAATGTGGTCCTCAAGCTTTCAAGGATCTTTTATATCTATCTCAAATAGCACAAGCAATGAGTATAAAAACAGAAACGGAATTTTATCGTCGGAGTCAAAGTGATATAATAAATGGAGAAGGAAAGACTATGGGTGCACTTTATTGGCAATTAAATGATATATGGCAAGCACCAACTTGGTCTTCTATTGAATATGGTGGAAGATGGAAAATGCTCCACTATTTTGCAGTTAATTTTTTCAGTGATTTCTTAGTATCTCCATATAAAAATGGTACAAATATAACTGTGAGTTTTATTTCAGATAAAACTCAAAAATTTGACAATTTAACTTTATATTTAAACATATATCATTGGTCATCATTTAATTCTATTTACAAGAAAAACTTAACATTTAATCAATTGCCACAGTCATCTCAAACAATTTTTACTGTTTTACAAACAAGGTTGTTGAATGCAGCAGGTTGTAAATCATCTAAAGAATGTTTTTTAACTGTTTCTGTGAAAAATAAAGATGGTCATCAATTGGGTCCTAATAATTATCTGTTTCTTTCTTCATTTAAGCAGGCAAGCGGTATTAAGAAAGCAAATATATCTATAGAAAATATTGAAATTATCAATAATACAACTGTAGAAAATCAGGAATTTAAGATTACATTAAGCAGTGATAATATTGCTCCATTTGTTTGGTTGGAAACTAAAATAAAGGGTCGCTTTTCAACAAATGGATTTCTATTAATATCTTCAAAATTTGACATAATATTCTTTTCAAAAGAAAGGATAACTACATTTCAGTTGCAAAAGAAACTTAATATTCGATCTCTGCTTGATGTCTGTAATTAAAAATGTTTTCTATATTTTGTAAATTCTATTAAAAATTATAATTGTTAATTTTTTGAAATGATATATTTGTTATTGATATTTTAGAATGTAAATTAAAAATAAACAAATTTTTAATAATTTTAGTATTTATTTACTTTATAGTAAGACAATAATTACATTATATATGGTATAAAATTTTGTTGTGAAAATTAAACATTTTCTTAATATTGAACCTTGTACTTTACATATTGAATGAATTAAACAATATTTTGGATAATTTTCTTAACTTTATATTATCATTGTTTTATAAATTTAAAATGAAATTAACATCACACAAGTTTAATATTTGCAGAATATGTAAAAAAAATAATGTATTTTTTTTATNTCTGGTAGTAGCATGATTTCACATTCATAAAAGTTTTGATCATTGCTTACAAAAAACTGATCCAAGTGATTTCTGACATTGTCATTTCAAGTAAATGTCTTGCAGTTAAAAAAAATTGTATAGACCGGAACAAGTAATAATCTGAGTGTGCTCGATCTGGCGAATATGGTTAGTGTGATAGCACGTCCATCTAAGTTATAACAGTTTCTGATGAGTTACCAAACTTGTGTGAAATTTGACATTATCGTGGTAAAACACTACACCTGTTTTGTTGATCAATTCTGGCCGCCTGTTTTGTTGATCAATTCTGGCCGCCTTTTCTGTTTAATGATATTACTCAATTTATTTACTCAATGGCAGTACACTTTTGAATCAATTGTTAAATTGTCTGGTAAAAGCGCCGAAAAAAAATTTCCTTAAAATCCCACCAAAGATAGCATCTCACCTTAAGAACATGTGGAACTCATATATCAAGCTTTGAAACAAAACCAATTTGTTTCAAGTAATCATAAACAGTTCAATTTGACAGATTTAATCTCTTAGTGATTTCACATGTTGTTATTTGGCAATTTGCTTCAATCAGTACCTTTATTTTGTTTTTGTTGGCTTCAACTGGCCATCCAGAACGTGGTGCATCTTCAATATTGAAATTGCCAGAACAAAATTTTGTTCTGGCAAATATATATAATACTGTAGTGTAGTGTAGTAATATGTATAATACTGCAGTGTAATGTAGTAATATGTATAATACTGCATATATAAATACTGTAGGAAATATAAACAGTTTTGGCACTGTCGTTCTGTCAATACATCTTCCCCATACACGTCACACAATTTTTTTTTTGCTTGAACAGTATTCTTACCTTTTTGGTAATAAAAGAGCAAAATATGCCAAAAATGCTGCTTTCGATCTTCCATATTTGATGGGAAACAAAAAATAAACAATTGCACAAAATCAAACAAAATTTTTACAAATAAGCCTTAAAATGCTAGCTGTCAAAATATATAATGATAATACGGTTTAGAATGAAAATGGTGGGAAAAATATGACTAATCCATCTAGTGGTAAAAAAAAACGAAATTACTTTCTGAACANAAACATTTCTTATTCAACGGCCATAAAAATTATTTCTATTAATGATGTCTCCAAAGTTCAACTAAGTTTTCGCAGAAAAATAACTTATCAGAAATCGCGGCCGCCGTTTGGTGCGCTGCTCCGCGACGAAAACAAGCTTAAGCAATGGTGACGTCGAACGGTGCAAACTCGGTAAGTAATCCTACAATTTTTTGTTTATAGCATAGTTTATACGGATTATTCCCAAAAAAATATACATATTTTGGAAATGTTGAGTCAAATTAGTTTAGGAATCGATTAATTTTATGGAAGAAAACCTTTCAAACAGCCGTAGTCCGTAAAGTGCATACGTGCCGGGCTGTGATTGGCAAGGACTTGTACAAAATTGATTCATAAAGAACGGAACGTATTTACCATGTTATAGGGGAGTCAACTGTATAATTAGTAATTTTTTCCCCATTTGCAATATAGTCAAACCTCATTTATACATTTCTCAGTTGTATATTTTTTTACAAATATGCATTAAATACTTTCTGCACCATACTTTCTCCATCATAAAATATGTTTTTCATTTATATGATTTTGAACTTACATGTTGTATTTTTTGGTACCCTATAGCATTTTTTTTTTCTCACTTGTGTTGTTCACTTTGAAGTAAAAAATTAATTTAAAGCTATTTATTAAAAAAAGTGAAAAAGTAAATTATATATTCCCTTCAGCTTAGTCCAAACTGACAGTGAATCACCAGAAAATCAAAAATTAGAGCAAATAATACATAACATGAGGTCATTTCTGACAAATTTCCTGTTTAGTAAATC